CTGTTTCTCTCTATCTTTTATTAAACATTAACAGCAGCATAGTTCATGATATCATTACTTTAAAGCACTATTTAATTTTCTGTTTACTATTTTTCTTACACTTTCTGATATGTTTTAAGAAAAACACCAACCTGTAGTAGTAATTAAAAGAAGCTGTACTGCGCCATATTTAACTGTCCGTACCTTTTTCAACAGTTCTCTGATACATGTATATGAGCCTTCTGAGATGTCATGAGTTGTGACTTCAACCTGCTTTACTATTACCAACAGCAGAAGTTCTACCCCAGTGGAATCCACCCCATTTTAAAAGTCCAGTGTTTACCACAGAACTGGATCATGTTCTCTAGGAAAAGTATCTCATCCTGAATGTAAATATTTCTAATGACAGATAAATGACTTTTCATAAAATGTTTCAATAATTAACTTTTTATGCACTAAAATCTGTTCTTTGTGTCTGGAATTGTGGAGCTTCAACGTCCATTTAATCTTCTGATACTTTTGCTAGAAAGAGGTGCCCATTGTTACCAGACTTTCACTCTGAATTTAAAGTAGTTTGTAATCAGGTTGTCCTTTAGTATTTTCTTTGATAAAATAAATAGGAAAAGGACCTAGACTTTTTCATAATACCAGTCCTTTCAACATTCTTGTGGCTCTTTAAACCGGTTTCAAATTTTAACATCATTCTTGAAGTGTTGAATGCAGGAGACAAAACCCTGTGTCAGCATCAAACAAGACTGCTAACCAGACAAGCAAGATATAGCTTGAGAACCCACACATATCCTTTAGCAATAACTCTATCTTTTGAGCTCAACCCTGGTTCACTAAATCCCAAGACCTTTTCAGACACACTGCTCTCTGTAGTAAAACTTCTATTACCTTCTCGCAAGCACATGACTTCATATTTAATTATAATGAAACAAATTTTGCTGCAGCTAACATGTCAAGTTATTCAGATCCTGCAATAGCGATACCTATCCATTAGTCAGTATTTTCTTTGGATTGCAAACATATCACAAAGAACTAATATACGTTAGCTCACCATTACATCTTAAGTTGGTTTTACAAGATCTATTTTTTCCATAAATCTATATGGATTGGCATTCTTACTAATCCCCCTTTAATAAAAGCTTCTTACATTACTTATCCTGTTATTTCCAATGGAACCACTGTCATGTGGACAAATCTGTCATTATCCAGACCAACCTTGACTTACTGATTTCAAACACATTTGTCTCCTCTAGTGTTCTAGAATTTCCAAATCACCTCAAAACCTTTTGAAAACTGAAGGCTGACGTGGGACAGTGGGTCACCTAGCTCCTAAAAAGGTTAAATTCAAACTATCAGACTGCTTCAATTAGCTAGGTTTAACCCATTGATCAGTTGTTGATGGAACAGAAGCATAGTCATCACTTACAGACAAATGGGTTTTCCAGCACAAATATGTTTTAAGTAGACCAGAAATATTTAAATTACTCTACCCTTTTTCCTGACCCCTATAACTATTAGAGCCTTAACTTGTAACAGATCAATACCAATTTTCTGATTATTTTTTTCTTACCATATTTTAAAATGTCATCTTACTGTTATTAATGAAGCTACTGATAGATTTTTAGGCACGTTTTTCTTTTCTTCTTTTAGCCAGGTACTACATTTCCTAGCATCTGGTTACATCCACTGTTTCCCCATTCATTTTAAACTTGCATTTTTCTTTTTTTTTTTAAATTTTCTTCTAGGTAAAACCAACATAGCCTTCACTTCTATTATAGCTTTTTGAAAATCTAAAAAACTTTGCCTTAAACACTTCCAAGTTATGATCCATACTTTTTAATTCAAATAATTTCTCCCTTTCAATAGAGTTCATATTTGCTGTCTCTTAAAATGACAAGTACAGTGGACTGATCTTGTATTCTGTAATACAGGCATGACCACTGCATGATAAACAAGAACTAATTTCTAATTCTTGAAACAATTTTTTCTTTATCTGTCAAGATGTCATATAATATAAAATATTCTTATACTGGGTTCAACAATATTTCAGTTGAGGAGTACGGTACCTAAAATTTTCAGAGATTTTAAGAAAGTTCTGGTATGGAAGCATGGAACTTCTAGGATATTTCATTCATAGTTCCCCAAATTTAGGAGGTTTTCATTCTTACATAGGACAGATATCCAGTAAAAAAGGGAATGATTCTATCCTCTCGTGTGACATCTGTAGAAGATGCAGATCTGCCTTATGTTCATTCAGTGTTAAAACACTAATCATTGGCCTTTACTGTGTGTCTATATACAGTCTATTGACTCAGTTTCCATTACTTCAGAGTAGTCTCATTAAAAGGAATTTGAAAAAAATGAGGCCAGAAACAATGAAAACTGAGGATAGATTAAAAAACATTCAGGTAACACTCAAAGTGACTACACCAAGTAGGCATTATCTCTGCAATTCCTTGATGGTCAGTGAAGGTCACAAGACTATGTGATCTGAAAGACTGCTTCAGAAGAAACTCTTTGAAGCTACAGCACATTTAACTTTAGATTTTTCTTCATAAAAATATTCTAATTACAAAGGCTTGGGAATGCATGTGATTCATTTAACAATGCAAATTTTCAAACAAAATAAAACTCTAATTAATGCCAGAAGCTTAATTTGACTCATTCATGAGTAAGTTGTTGCTAATGAGTAACTGACAGAACTTCAGTCCCTGGCAAGTACTGGCTCTGAAAATAACAGTATGTTCTCTTAGCGCTAAAAAAAGAAAAAAAAAATAAAATAACAAAACAGCTTTACTATTTATGTGATTCCTTGAGTTGTCACAGTTCACATTATCAGTTGACAGCAACTTGTATCACGCAGAACACAGTCATTGTTGGATTCTGAGACAGCTCCATCCTCTCCATAAGGAGACCAGAGGCAGACCAGATAACAAAGAATGAATGGTCATCTACTCTTTGACGTAGCATCTGTACTATGAGTTGCTAAAGTTGCTGAAGAAAAGCTTTTAATGGTTGTGTTTGGGCTGTGCTAAAATATGTTCCTAAATAAGCAAAATATTTCATGCTTTGTTTTTTTTTTTTTTTTTCAAAGATCGGAAAGAAGTTATCTTTGTACTGCATGGTTGAAAATAGTCTTCTGTTGATTGAGTTTTTTTCCATATCAATAGATAAGCAAATTCACTTCAGAAAGCATGCATTCAGAAAGTATGGCATGTGGTATGTATTCATTCCTTTCTTCACACATATTATAGCCTTGTAAAGAACCAATATTTAAATAAAATAGAGCTGCTTATTTCATGTTAGTGGTCATCAGTTTTCTGAAGTCAAAAGGAATTTTCCCACATTCTGCTTTGATTTCCATCTTATCCGACAGCAAAGCTACCAATAAATGTTACAAGAAATACATACATCTTACTGTTTAAATCAATTTTTTTTCCCAGCAAAATAAAATATACTCCTTTTACTCCATACTGTCATAAAGCTATCTCTCAAACTTTTGTATAAGATAGCTTATATAAAAAACAGTAAGAGCCCACAAAATGCATATTGAACTATGTTGAAATACACTAAAAAGAAAAAAAGCAACAAAAAATTACTGATTTCATAGAGTGTTTATTTATAATTAAATTAAACATAAGTCACATGTTAATCCCTGAGAGACTTTAAGTCTACTGTGAAGATGGAAAAGGCTTCTGCTACATCCAGGTCTGACTTTTGTACTCTTTTAAATGTACTGTCGTGTATTTTAATACTAAACCTTGTTTTCATATAATACTATAGTGCTTTATATAGAACATCAACTTATTTGTGTATTATCATTAAAAACATTTTAAATGACATCATAATAATTAGCTATACTATGTCTTCATTTTTGTTTGCATTGTATTTTCCAGCTACTGGTTTCAGAAAATTACCATTAGTTTTGTTCTTCTCTTCATGAAGAGCATACAGCAATTTGCAAAATCAAGCAAGGATGAAAATGTGATTGAAATATAAGATTTTTTCTAATGAAATATTATTATTGCATTATAAATTATTAATAGAATGCTTCTGGAACTCTTTTCTGATGTGCTCATCCTTTTTAGGGAAAATTTCTGTAAGAGATACAGCTATCCTGAGAGTATGTTGGGCTTCAGATGCATATTTTCCAACAACACTATTAAAACACAGTCAATATAATGGATTTTTAAGGCCCAATCCAGAGTCCATATCCATGAAAACATTGCACTGAATTCAACTGCAGGATTGCCTAATTGAGAAATACAATTTACCCCTTTGTCTTAGGTAATTTTACAGTACAACAGAGGTTTTACATATTTATATTGAACAAATACATGGAAAGTATTCCCATGTTACCATCACATCTCATATCTTAGCAATGTTACGTTTGCACCACCTTCACTGTGCATAACAGAAAATGTTACTGTGAATTACTGTTTTAATGTGAAGTTCTAACACTTCACTGACAGTGTTCTAAGAGTTTTTCTTTCAACTGAAATCAATGACCAGGTGTGCTAAATGATTTCTATCAGGCTAAAAGAGGTAAACAAAGTCCTTGAAAAAGTCAGTAGATACAACATCTATTTGCTCAGCTCAACATGTTGCTAAATGTAGGCACAAAGCTTGAGACAGGCATTTGGCATTTGATTGGTCTTCTGACCTCAGAAAACAGAGCAGAAAAGCTTGTACCTTAATACAACCACGGAACTGAGAACTTAAAGATAAATTTTAATCCTAAAATTCTAAGCAGCAACAAAATTTTCCTTTATATCAAGTAGGTACATAAGGCATTTTATGTTGAACAATTTACAAAATGGTATAGCCAAAACCTTTTTGACTCAAGAACTTTATCCTAGTACTTCCTGTCAATATCCTGGACTTCAAAGGAAATAGTCCATTAAAAATCAATGGAAAGCATAACACATCTACTAAAATAATAATATTAAAAAATATTGGAATCTAGTTTAAGAAATTTCTCTTGGCTTTCGGTTTCAGTTGTTTTTTCCTACCTGGCCCATCCCAATCTTCAGTCTCCACAGCAAGCTGCCCTGGTTTTTCTGACCTTGCATCACCATCAGATTCTGCTGCCTCCTGGATGCCTTCTTCATTGCCTGAAAAAACAATCAAAGAAATACAGTATTGACATATGTTTACATGTGTGACAACATATGCATGTCTATAAATAGAGAGAAAATGAAAAAAATATTATTAGATACATAAACATCTGCGAGTTTCTGGTGACTCAAACAATTCCTGAGTATCCGATCCTTCCAGTTCTGTGAAGAGACAAACATTGGAAAACTGTTTACTCCATATGCTTAAAAAATGGAATCACAACTTGCACCTAATTCTGTAAACCAATGCACAAATGAAAGCAAAAAATCAGCTTGTTACTCCCCAGAAACATACACTTCCAGTTATGTGTTTTCTTGAATCGACACCTAACTGTTTCTTATGCATTGCAGATTAATGACACTCAGTACAAAAATATGGTCCACTAAACATTCTGGCTGTTCAGGCAACTAGAGATCAACTATGATTGACTCTGGTATTTAGGCATTTAAGGAACTTGCCCTTAAAGGTTATAAACTACCAGAAGTCCCTATGATAATTTTCTCCCTATCAAAATTTGTCTGAAGAAAGGCAACATTTCTGATGAATTTTAGACTTTTCTCCATCCAGAAGTATCTGAGACCATTTGTTGGCCTTCAGTAACTATCCACTATAACGTTGTATACAGGATACAATGAAAATTTTGATATGGTTAAAATTTTAGAGATGACCATTTAGTTATTATTTGAAGAATTCCTTGTTGAAAGGGCAGTTATTTCACTTAAACAAAAGACTCTAGGCAAGCTCCATGCAAAAATACTTTGAAATAACCACTATGAAAAATTATATTCAAGGTGAGGGGTTCAGGTATTAACACAAAATAGTCTGGCCACAGTAATGTGTTAAATGACTTGTCCAAATGCTTAGCCAGTCCAGTACTTCACTGAACTGGTAGATTTTTTTTTCACTACTAATCACTCTGAGAAACTCTTGCATTAGAAGATAATATGAAGAATCTATGAAGATAGGCCAGGTTGGACGGGGCTCTGAGCAACCTGATCCAGTTAGCGGTGTCCCTGCTCCTGCAGGGGGGTTGGACTAGATGACCTCTAGCGGTTCCAACCCAAAACATTCTATGATTCTAAGATACTATGAAAAATCAAACCTACATCAGTCAAATAGGGTTTAATTTTTTTTTAGCAAACTTGAAGCAAACTTTTTAAAAAACTGTGTCCCACAGAAAAGTGGCAGCACTAAAAAACAAACGCTGCATATTTTAGAATCTGAAAATCAGACTACTTGTTGATTTGACAGTAGCAGACCAAGAAGGAGCAAAAAGCACAGCAATTAAGCAGTAACTTGTAATTTTTTCCCCACTCATGATAACAGAAGCTTTTATTAGCAACATAGGTAAAGAAATGTGATTACAGCAAACCATGCCAGATCCCCATACGTTATCACTGGAGCTATATTTATACCAGATAAGCTTGTGACCCAGAGTTTTCAAGTACATGATTATATACAAACACCATAAAGTTTTAACTTCATGTGCATATGTAACGTCTTGTAATAACACATTCTTCCTTGCAGTCATAAATCAAACAGTTTTTCAAATCCTAAGTATAAGAGCCTGGTAAACTACTTCTCACACAAACACAATACTATATTCACTCCAGTCCCCAATAACAAAAATATAGTTCAGTGTATTCATAATACTAAAAATATAGCCCAGTGTATTCATAGGCACTTAAAGCTAAAAGACATCATGAATATCTAGTATCATTTTTCTGTTAAACACACTGAATAATTTTACCCAGGTATCTGAAGTTCATGTGCTTCAGTTCAATCTGAACTTAGCTTCAGAATATCATCCTAAAAATTCACATGCTGAAAAAGCTATCTTTTTGTACCAATTATTTGTTTTTATCAACTACCCTATTTTGAATTCACATTTGTATAGTTACTTTGTAGTAACGAAACAATTCTGCTTTTTTTGGGGGGGTAGGCTAAAGAACCTATAAAATATTTTTACTTTCCTATTTCTACCTTCATAGCTACTTACAGCTGCAACAAATTGTTATTTATTGGAGAGAAACAAAGGACAATTTTCCAAGGTTCAAACCTGGCAAGATCAACTCCAGTTTTCTCCAAAATGTTGGAAAACAGTTCACAGCAAGGGCAATTCTGATTATGAGTTTCTAACTCAAGCTATATAATCACCATAGAAAGCTCTTAAAATGCTCTTTGCATGGAATTTTTATACTAAAGAAAATGTTTTTCTTCCACTGTGAACAATAGATCTCTATGGATTATCTCAGAACAACAACAAAAAATATTAGAAATATTAAGAATTCTGTTAGATAGAGACCAAGCATGGAAAATTTTAGTTCCAAAATATTAAAGTTTTTCCAGGTTATAATATATGCAAACCTGGCGTTAGCATGCAAATTTGAGCATTCTTTCAATCAATGCAACCAACCAGAACATCAAACAAACAAAACTATTAGAATTGAAAGAGGAGGAGAAACTTATGTGAAAAGATTGGGCTGAAGGGCAAAAGAAGGGCAGAATTACAGCTAAGGTATACAACTTACAGCACACACTAATTAAGTATTTGGGAGATGAAGAAAGATCTGAAAATTTATGTTAGCAGATGGCTTAACTTTTCATTAACTTGCTTTTTCAGTGTTTCATGAAGTATGGTGTTACGTGTTTTTCATAATCAAATTTTCATGAATTAATGCATGTGCTGTGTAAATAGAGTAGAACAGAATGTGTAGTGTTTACATTAAGGAAAACTTTATTTTTCATCTATAAATACAGATGAATAAATTATTTTCATTGATATTTTCTACTATTCACCAACTACCAAGTCCATGCATTACACACCTGAAATATCACAACACTGATTTCTCCTGTTCCCCCACCCTACTTTCCCTCTGTGCTGAAGCAATCTGCTTGTAAAACCGACAAATGCGACACTACTGTGGGCTTCAGAAGCCATCAGTCAAGCAAGTCTGTCCCAGGCTCAGCTGAGCGTCAAGGTCAGATGAAAATGGACAACCAAGTCAACCAGAGTTCTGGAGACACTGCAACTTTAAGAAGCCAAAAGGAGTCTGAGCACAAGAGCTGATAATAAAACACATCTCTCAAGCTTTTTTTGTTTCTTTCCCCTTACTTAATGCTACTTTAGCAGCTAACATTTGTTTAGCACAAACGAGTTTATTACCTTACAGAATTTATTTTCTTTCCACTGTTTACTCATTTTGTTCATTCACTGACTATTTTCCAGTCTCAGTAAATCTATTTTTTTTATATATTTATTCTAAAACCAATTACATTTTTCTTCAACTTACAGGTGTACACATTTAATTGGATCCAGGACATATTTTCCCTTTCTTCCAAGGCAAATCAAGTGTTCTACTATTCACCAACTACCAAGTCCATGCATTACACACCTGAAATATCACAACACTGATTTCTCCTGTTCCCCCACCCTACTTTCCCTCTGTGCTGAAGCAATCTGCTTGTAAAACCGACAAATGCGACACTACTGTGGGCTTCAGAAGCCATCAGTCAAGCAAGTCTGTCCCAGGCTCAGCTGAGAGTCAAGGTCAGATGAAAATGGACAACCAAGTCAACCAGAGTTCTGGAGACACTGCAACTTTAAGAAGCCAAAAGGAGTCTGAGCACAAGAGCTGATAATAAAACACATCTCTCAAGCTTTTTTTGTTTCTTTCCCCTTACTTAATGCTACTTTAGCAGCTAACATTTGTTTAGCACAAACGAGTTTATTACCTTACAGAATTTATTTTCTTTCCACTGTTTACTCATTTTGTTCATTCACTGACTATTTTCCAGTCTCAGTAAATCTATTTTTTTATATATTTATTCTAAAACCAATTACATTTTTCTTCAACTTACAGGTGTACACATTTAATAGGATCCAGGACATATTTTCCCTTTCTTCCAAGGCAAATCAAGTGCTTTTTGTTTTTTATATACTACTCACTACTAGCCTGTTGATTCCTTTCTAATCCCATTGTTTTGGTTTTTTCTCATGATTATTTCTTCACTTTGCTGCTCAATTACATTTCATATTTATGTTAAAGGAGAAATAACTTTTCACCATCAACACCAAAGAGTGGTATAGAAGTACCTGCAATGACAAATCATCTAAAATGAAGCAAACCTGCTTCTGTTTAAGTTTTTCCTTCTGGCAACTAAGATCAATAAATTAATTCTGTCCTTTAAAAGAACATTATTGCATGAAAACAAAAAGACTTGTATGAGCAAGAATCTCTAATATCATATAGTACACCATGAGTCAATTAAGCCTACTGGACTTTCAGCTATTTCTCTGTATTTGGTATTAAAGCTCCTCTTTGGGCAGAATTCATCTCCTCTAACCTTAGACGTCTGAAAGTTAAGCTAGTCCAGACTAATTATGTAGGCGCTCCTATAGACAGGGAAGAGAGAAAACTCCACGGTGACTCACCCTATTCGAGGATGCCTGAGATATGAGACCCCTCTTGGTGTCTGAGATAGATAGCTGAAATGAATCATGCTCTGAAACACACAGCTCAGACTAGGAACCTATCTTTGGCCAGCTCGAGTTAGGTGAAACAAATCTCTGCCTACAATAGTGCTGAATACACAAAATACTGCTTAACTAAGAGAAAAAAAGTCTTATTCAAACAACTTCAATACTGTAATTTGAATAGAATTTTCATCTTGACCTTACTATTTATTACCAGTATTAACTGTTTATGTTGTTCTTCAAAAACAGTTCGAAGTTTTTTAATGAAGTTTTTAATATCCTAATGTTTATCCAACAGATGCCAGTGAACACACTAAACCACTGTAATTCAAGGTGGTACAGTGGTCAGGGAATCTGAAGACTGTAAAAGAGACATCTTACCAGAAACGTGAGAGGGAGAACTCTAACATTTCTGACAACACTGACAAGGAGGAAAAGAGAGACATGAATATTAACAAGTCATTGCACTTTAATCTTTTTAACAAATTAAAATACTTCCCAATTTGTACTTAATCAGCT